AATGGACAGAAGAATTAAGATACTAGGGTTATACCTTTGAAGGATATACCTGGCCTTCCTACCTCTACTTTTTTCTCTGCTTTCTATTCAGTGAGGGGTTTTCCATCACCACAATCACCCACCATGATGCTCTGCCTCACCACAGGCCTAGTAACTTACATACTATGTAAGGACTGAAACTTACATACTATGAGCCAAAATAGATTTACCCTTTCTCAGTATTTTGCTATTAATTATTTATTTCAGTGATGGAAAATCCAATACAGTGTTTTATAAATATGCTATCCATCATGCATAGTGGTTATTATTTTGATATGGATACTTTGTATTCAAATTATTGTTCTTCACATTTTCCCTCCTAACCAAACAAAGCCACTTATTATACACTTAAAAACTTATAAACACTTAACTGCAGTGAGAGTTTTAGCAGATATCCTGTTTTAGTTTCTTTCACTACCAAGTAACCAAAGTCTGAGTGATAGCCCTAAAGGCTCATTTAGATTAATGGGCAAAGATTAGATGCCATATCCCTCTTTTTCTAGTCTATCAACTTGAAGCGGAAGCTTTCTATGCCATTCAAAGTTTTCTTTTTGATTTTTACTAATTATTATTCAGTGTTATCTTTCACTGTATTTCTCTGTATAAACTGACTCTATTACTCAAAATTGAAAAACTATTCATTAAATTAAAGTTTCTATATATATACATACATAATCAAGGTAAAATGTACTGTTTATTGTATTCTGCAGCATAGTCAAGTGAAATCCTAAAATCAATATTAACACGTTAGCTATCGCGTATGTATCAGATACTAGACCTGCACACATTTTTGCATAAGTAGTAACTTCATATTCTGTGAACCAGAAGCATGCATGCAAGAAACTAAACTTTGGTATGTTATTTTATTCTGAAAAGTATCTGTATTCTCCCACTCAGCATGATGATAATGCATTATAAGGCATCATTTCCCTATGTTCCATATAGAGCACATGGCTTATACAGGAAGAGGATCTAATTATGTTTGTATAAACAGTAGAAACTCCATTTTAATTTCAAAACTGTATCCAGACCTACATTTTGACTATTTTCTTATATTCAAATATTCCTTAGGCATCAAAAAGTCACCAAATATTTTATGTACAGCAGTATGGTCTGAAAATTCAAGTTCAAAAACAGTCCAGTTAGGTTCCTCTTACTGTCAAGAGTCACCATGACCACAGAAACTCTTTTTTTTAATTAATTTTTTTTAAAAAAATCTTTTCTCATTGTACATACCTATCCCAGTTCCCACTCCTCCCCTCCTCCTACTCCCCTCACCTTTTCCCCACCCCAGCTCCCCATCTACTCCTCAGAGAGAGGGTAAGGCTTCCCAGAGGGAGTCAACAAAGACACATCACTTTGAGACAGGGCTGAGGCTTTCTTCCCTATATTTACTCTGAGCAAGGTATTCCTCCAAAGAGGAATGAAATTTCAAGCACTAAGGATAAATCCTGGTCCTACTGCCAGTGGCTCCACAGACTGCCCTAGCCACACAGCTGTCACCCACATTCAGAGTGCCTAGTTTGATCCTATGCTGGTTCCCCTGCTATCAGTACAGAGTCAGTGAGCTCTCAACAGCTCAGGTCAGCTTTATGGTCAAGACCCCTTTGTTCATTTTATCACTCCTCCCTCTCTTGGACTTATAAAAGCAGACATTTAACAGGGGTTGGCTTACCGTTTCAGAGGTTTACTTCTTTAGCATCATGGCAAAAAGTATGGCAGCACACAGGCAGACATGGTGATGGAGAAGCAGCTGAGAGTTCTACATCGTGATCCATAGGCAGCAGGAGACTGTGTGCCACACTGGACTTAGCTTGAGCATCTAAGACCTCACAACCTGACCCCCATAGTGATACACTTCCTACAACAAGGCCACACCTACTCCAACAAGGCCATACCTCCTAATAGTGCCACTCTGTCTGGGGCAAGCATCTGAACACATGAGTCTATGCGGGCTGTATTTACTCAAACTACCACAGACACTCGGGTCACATACTCACAGCTGTTTACTACCAGTATCTTTTCTCAGTTCAGTAGCATCCATTGATTCATTATTCTACATACTTAGTTGTCCACAAGTACACGGCTTACAAAGTATTAGCTACAAGACAGAAAAGTGTGCTGTTTCTGTAATTAGTGTAAACAGTTAGTTGCACACTGTTGAAGCAGTCGCCCTCATGAACTCAGGCAAAGGGCTCTGAAAAAATAAGCCAAGAATCTGGGAATTACAAAGAACAATCACCACATTCCAAGTGAGGAACTGAACAAGAATCCCAGACTAATTTGTTTATCCTTAAATGAAAAGCCGCAGGAACTAAAAGGATTATCTAATCTCTTTCCATTTTCTTAATGCTTGGAGAAGTTTTAGATTAATAGCTTTTGATACTTTAATGATGTCAAAGAAGGCTGTAAGAGCCTTATTAATTTCACTGACTTCTTGCCAAGTAGGAAAAGCAATTTGTGATTACTGAATAAATGTATCTTGATTAGAAAAATTCATCACAGCAAGGAAATTGTAAAATGGAGAAAAGTAGAAACAATTTATAAAAATGTATAAGAACAAATTCAAAATGACAGATTGGATATGGGTTTAAAATTCTCCTGGGAAAATACAGGAGATCATTAGTTTTATGTGTATGTTAATATTTAAACCACTGTTCTATCCTGAAATTACTGAGATGGTTTTCACTTTTTAAAACTCTACTTAAAATTCCCAACTACCATCTCAAAGTACAATGAAGTACAAACTTAAAGTGTTTTGTTTTCCTTTTCAATATTTATTTATTTCTATTTATTTATTTATCTATTTATTTATTTATTTGACAGCCTGACTGCATATTCCCCTCTCACCTGTCTTTCCAGCCCCTGCCCCAGCCACTTACCTCCCTTCTAAGCTCCACCCTAAACTTCTCCTCTGTTTCTATGTAGATAAGGGCAGACCTGCCCTGGATATCAACAAAGCATAGCATATCAAGTTGCAGTAAATCTAAAAACTTTCCCTTGTATTAAGGATGGAGAAGGTGACCCACCCAGTAAAACCCGAGTAATTAAACCCTTGCTCCCCAGGCAGAAATGCACAAGTGTGGACACATTAATAAGAAAGCAGCAATGTTCTCAAAAAAGTAAAGCCACCCTTCAAGTCATGTGCCCCAAACTAACAAAATGGCTGGTTTTTTCCTTTCCTCTCCTTGAATTTATTTTTAACTAAAATAAATTCTGTCATTGAACATGCATCTATAAGCCCTGGGAAAATTGTTCTAAGCACTAGTTCAAATTACTTTTGAATGTATCAAATGCGTTAGGGTGGGAGTATTAAAAGCTCTAAAATGATGGCGCCTTTAGTCTATAGACAAATGGATATGTTTTATTCAGAAATTCACAAACAAAATTTTATTCAGTTTACCCAAATTACCCTTGAGGTGTTTATTCCTTCCTAAGTCCTAAAGGTTTTCGTGGCCGGAGCGCAGTCTCCTCCCTCCACCCTCACTCTTGTCCTTTAACCTTTCCCTTTTAACCCCATCCTTTTACTCAGTACCCTGACCCTCTGTCTTCTTAGAACTCGCATTGTCCTCAGTCTGAAGTACCTACTGATTTCTAGGTTCCACACCTCCCACCTGGTCAACATCAGATGCAGTGCTTGCCTTATTATTTGTTTTTCAATCTTGCTGAGTCTACTCTCTTCCCTATTCACACGACAGCCTCTAGTCCAGCATCACAGTTTCTCCTTTGCAGCTCTCATTGGAGATGCCATTTCACGTTTAATAATGACATTTTTGTTGCCCATCCTTATCATTAAAAGCACTGAAGCCAAATATTTTGCATTCTTCCTCATTATTGTCTTGCATCTCAAGCACCTGTGTGCCTATCATTAGATTCATTCTCCCTTAAGAGAAATTAGTAAAGGAAGGTCTAAGCACATAAAATTTGGCAGCCATGGGATTAATGGATAGAGACCATTTTTGTCAACTCTACCAACCATGAACATCTATACTGTCTTGCATTAACTTTGTCTTCCACAAGCTTTGTAATAAGTTCAAGAGAGGATCTGTTTTCTCTGTCTCTGTCTCTCTCTCTCTCTCTGTCTCTCTCTTTGTCTCTCTTTCTTTCTCTCTCTTCCCCCTCTTCATGTGAGCACACCCACAGATGTCAGTATTTTAGGACTGAAAGTACTTTGGTGATGGTAATTGTTTGTAATAACTCAGTATTAAATACCCCTGATGGCTAAAGGATTTTCATTCTGATCATGGGGAAAAACTTCAAATTAGGCGTATATATTCCCAAGATACTGAAGGAAGCTGATGAAAAATTTTAGTCCATGTTTAAAGCTAGTTTTTCGGACAGTGTCTTCTTTTCAGATATCTATTTGGAAGATGCTGAAGAAGAGGAGCATGCTTCATCTCTCAGGACCCATTTTTATTTTTTGTCCTCTTCACTCTTCTGCTATGTGGCATGACTATTCAAAAATTAGAGTCAGTCTTTCAAGACAGAAAACCTACTTTGCACTGGCCTTGTGCATCCTCTTCTACCTGAATTTCTGCACATGGAGCAGGGAGCAATGCTGACTGATTCCACTAACGAATGCAGATATGTACAGAAGGCATGCAGCCTTTGAAGGCCCAAAGTGCCTTCTCTGCCTCATGATAACTACCCGCATTAAAGCCGCTGGTTTATTGAACTATCTGCTTGATATTATTTAAACGCTCATCTGTTTTAACTTTAGAAAACCGAATGAACATTGAATAAGAGAAAAGGGCTTTTCTTTCTGGGTTCCAGAGCATTTTACTGTTTACCATTTTACCACATACAAAAAGAAATTTGACTACAAAATCCAATCTTGGTAAGAGTTCCAGGATTTGTTTCTCAAGGTAAAACATGGCTTTCCAAACACAGTGAAAGTAAGACATCTTTATGAGTTCACCCTCCCTCTCTGTCTCTTTCTGTATGTCTTTATGTCTCTCTTTCTCACACACACACATACATACATACACACACATACACACACTTATACATACACACACACATACAAACACACTTTCCCACTTAGCATTTTCCTTTATCCCCAAACTTGCTTCAGTCTATGCTTCCTGAGAAGTAGTGAAAGCAGTTACTCTCAGAACCTGTAAAGAATTTACTAGTATTAGAGTTCCAGTTAAGTCTCTCCACTGTTTGGTGACAGGGTTTTTCATTCTGTCCAAAGCTGATTGAAGGTCTTGTAACACATCTCTACAGTTGTTTCCATTGTGACTGCTCCATGCATAGAGAAAATCATAGGCAGGTTTCCACATCATCTATAAAGAAAAGAAAATAGATTGATGTGAATATCAGACAAATAACAGACAGAGATAGAAACAGAGAAAAAAATTTAAACTGTAAAGGAGTTAAAATAAAATGGAATGCTCATTATGTGAACTTTTTGATGTAGAAAATAATCACTATCATTTTTTATAACCCTGTTTCTAAAACTAGAGTGTTTTTCAAAAATAAAATAGTTATAAATATGAACATTTTTCTTGATCCACTGTTTAGTTTATATTGCCTTGATTCAATATAAAATTCTTTGCATAATTTAAAATTTACATTTTATTATTCATGTATTTATTTATTTAGTGTTGTGAGAGTGAATGTATGTCATACATGTATGTGGAAGTCAAGGGATAACTTGATGGAGTAAATTATGTCATACCATGTGTGTCCCAAAAGTGATACTCAGTTGTCAAGCTTCATGGCAAGCCTCTTTATCTACAGAATTATCTTTTCAGCACCATATTTTTTAATAATAACAAATACTATTAAGGTAAACTTTTAATTATCTGACTTTTAAGAATAGGATTTGTTACATATAAGTATTTGTGTTGTTTTATAATACTATATATCATAACAATGATAGCAAATACATTTTGCACTTTTAATTCATTCTATTCAGCAAATCTATACATAAGGAAAACTGTAGTTTGATGATCAAATTAAAAACAAAAATATAGTTCTTTAACTCAAAAACTTACTTTTATGGTACATTTTATGATGCAAAGAAAGACCAACATTCTATGTTTCTGCACTTTTCTTCCCCTGAGGTCACACCAATGACATCACTGTTCCCATAGAAATAAATGCATGCCAAAGGAGAATTTCACATACAAGCAAGTACATGATGGTTACCAAGGCAACAGGCTCAGAGGGAATGAGACAAAGGCAAATGGAAGAATACAGACATATACAAAAGTTAACATGAATTTATTCTAAGAAAATAACAAGGCATACACTCATGATTAGAACATTTGAAATGTAAACTTTAGTAGTAATTGCTTATTTGGACTTACCAAGTTGATTTATTTGTAATTCTACCATTTATAAAATGTTAAAAGCACTGAGTTTGAGCTTAATATTGAACATAATTGCTTTCTTAAAATGGTACCTCAATTAACATCAGCATTCCATGTAATTGGATATAATTTTTCCATTTGCCACCACTACTACCCAGATAGTCTAATTACTGAGGTGAGCAGAAATAAATCTCTGATGTCATTATGGTTTGCTTCAGTCCACATAAAAATGCTCAAAGAGTGAGATGTTATTTGTTCTAGTTGGCATTTCGGAGAGGACATACACACCTATTTCCTCACCTCTCTTACAAAGACTAATTTTGCAAAATAAAGAATAAAATAATTATCAAAGTTATATCATGCTAAGGTATGTGACATAGAAGCGGAAGTCACCTTAGAGTAGCTGCTCTCAACCTATGGGCTACAACCTCCCCAAAGACCATTAGAAAATACAGATTTATAACAGTTATAAATTACCGTTATAAGGCAGCAATGAAAATATTTCATGGCTGGGATCACCACAGCCATGAGGAACTGTGCTAAAGTGCTACAGCATTGGGAAGGTTGACAACCACTGCCTTAGAGTTTGTATACAAGCTTTGTCATCACTGATCTGGTTTATGGGGAAATTGTATCTTCTGCTACTGAAATAAGGGCAGTGGGGTGTCCTCTTTTTCGAAGGGTTCTGTTGTGCAAACTACTCACACTACCAGTGTTATCAGTAGCTATTCAGCAAGAAAAACAAATTAGGCCACATTAATAGAAGCTTATGTCAGGCTCTATCTCAGCTGTCAGTACTTAGCTGCAGTGCTACACTAAAATGATTGATTAATCTTTATGGATTTAAAAAACAGAAAACTGTTTGTCCATGCTCCAAACTTATATTCTATACTGAATCCACTCAGTCACCAATATTCAACTAGCTGGTACAATAATTTTCAAATTGTTGTGTACTGTTTAACATAATGTTATGTATATTTAACAGCCTCCCCAGACTGTTCTAATTCCCTTTGTGACTGAGTAGGAAACAGAAATGTATTTGGAAATATTTACAATAAGCAATGACTGACAGCAGTGAGTAAAAGGTGATATAGCACAGAAGATTAGCATAAAATACCAGAGAACATAGATATCTGTTGGGGATTTCAAATGGGTGGTTTCAGAGCTCTTTTATATGCTGACATACAAGTGGTTTTATACTCATGGACAGTAAAACCACCCCACTGTCTTACCCAGGCAGTTAAGCTCTGCATGGCATGTCTTGCTGCAGCAAGGAAATTTAGCATTTACAGAAAAGCTTGCAGGAGTGTTTAGATGTGAGTCGACTTCTCTGTCCTGCCCGGAGACATAGGAGACTGGAGATGTACACAGGGATGGTATAAGTTAGAGCCTACATTCCTCCATGCACTTATACTAAGTACTACATAACTCCCTCACATTAGACAGCTTGCACACAACACAGAACAGTGCAGTCAGCACTGGAATTCAGAGAAACATGGATTGACTGTTGAAGTCTGATCTCTATTTAAGTCTTCCGAAAGTACAAAGAAAGGAGTGGCTAAATTAATCAGAAATGCAAGAGAGGATATTGCCTTGAACTTATTTGATGACCCCTGACATGGGTATGAGAGTGTTAGGGTGGAAACACAGGACAGAGATGACCTTCCTGACTTGAACTAAAATATGAAGGGGATTTGCCATCCAGGTTTTTTTTTCTCTTCAATACAACAAAGCCTACATATTTCTTCAGTATAAAATCTAATTTGCCATATACAAAATTACCTGTGACTTTCAACCCAGATGGCAAAAAAAATACTATCACACATAGTTTAAATATGGTAAATACATGCTTTTCCACTAATTATTTTACTTGCTAAGTCAAAATTCACTGAATGCATATCCTTCAAGAATTTTTATTACAGCAAGGTCATGAGAAAAAAAGCATGGTGCTTAGATATAGGAACAAGGCAATCATTTGGACAAACAATGAGTAAACAGATAAGACTTGGTAATAACAATTACAAAAAGTACCTCTAGATTAACCTGTATGAATCAATGTGAGAAAGACAGGAACTTTTAAAGTTTTATTTTGTCTTATGTGCACATAATATATGTGGACTATGTGAGTGACTGGCACCCTCAGAGGACAGAATAGCGTTTTGGATTTCCTGAAACTGGAGATGCAATTTGTGAGCCACTATATGGGTGCTGGGAGCCAAACCCAGTACTCCTCAATAACAACCAATATTTTTAACTGATGAGCCACCTCTCCTGCCATATGACAAGCTCTTGTCATTTGATGAGGACTCATATGTTGCAAAAAAGGAAATTGGGTTTTACTGCCAATAGTCCTATGCTCACATCCAGGTTCCATTGCTTCTTTGATAGTTCAGTTTGAGCTTGGAATTTTTAAGCTATGAAGTATGTATAATAATTTCCAGTCTTCTTTCTTCAATAAGGCACCCTAAAAAGAACTTATATGACAGTTTGCATGCAATGATTGTTAGTAGTATACATAGAAAATTGTAAACTTTTAATAGGAGCAAGATAAGGAAGCTTTATTTTTAACCATATGGAATATGAGATAATGGACAGGGGCTATCTGATGAAAACTTAAAATGGTCAAATGACCTGAAAGCAGTCAAGGATTGAACATTATTCATGTCACAGTAATGAAGAAAATATGTGAGACTTCTACTGTGCCAAAGAAAAGTGAATGGAAATTTAAACTTCAGTAAGTGTACCATTGTAGACACAAGTAAGATACAGAAGCAAAGAATGGAGACAGGGTAGAGTTAGAGTACAGAATTGTATTCATGTTACAAAAGACGGTGGTACCCAGCTGACTCAAAAGGATATCTATCTAGTAACTTATCTGGAGTCAGTTCCACAGCCCCACATAGCTGGTTTTGTGTGAGTGTGTGTTTAGTATTAATGGATTAAAATCATAAAAGTTGGGAGTATTTATATCATGGAAGTTAGCAAAGGCAATGATTGAGGAGTTTCCCCTCTTGCAAAACCAGTTATTAAAATTTCACCATCACACCACAGAGGGCATCCTTTTCTTTTGCCTCCCTTCCATCTTCTAACACCAAGTGATTCAATGACACATTTACCAAAGGCGAACAAGAATACAGACTCCACCCTAAAAATGTCAGTGTGAAGTGCCTACAGGAAGACAAGTGCAAATAAACAGAAGCCACGCAACAAATGGATCACATACAGAATTTGAGTTCTGGAAGAAGAGAAATATAAACAGAGGACTAATCATCAAGAAATGGATGAATTTTTAAAGGAAGGAAAAAATACAAATATGAACATATTATAAAGAAAAATAGTTTGTGGGTTAAATTCTAATGTTTCCAGATAGATAATTTAAGATTATTGAGGACTGAAGAGATAGCCCATTTAAAACATTCGAAAGAAAGGCTAGCTTTCATTAGCCAGAAGAATAAAGACAAAAGAATGTTTTAATTGTTTTTGAAAAGTAGATTAGTTGCTTTTCTGTTGGTGTGTCAAAAATGAATGACCAAAACCAACCTATAGGAGAAAGAGTTGATTTTAACTAAGTATCCAGAGGACTAGATGTCAATAATAGCTGGGGAGGTATGCAGCAAGCACCTCGAAAAAGAAGCTGAGAGACCACAGCTAAACCTCACATGGGAAGCAGAAGAAGGAAGCTTGAAGTGAGCAAGCTATATGCTCTTGAAGCCCACCTCCAGTGACAAACTTCCTCCATGAATGCTCCATGTCATAAAAGTTCCATTCACACCCCTAACCAGCACCAACAAACTGAGGACCAAAGTGAACAAATGCATGAGCCGTTTGGAGAAGTTCCCCACTTAAACCACTACAATAATTAAAGGGACAAATAATACTGAAGCAAAGAAAACTCACAGTCTGACAACAGCTATAAACTGCATACAGTGAAGGAACACTGAAATGTAAGAAATATGTTATTCTTCAGT